ATAATAATTATTATAGGATAAATATAGAGAGTAAAAACACACACAAAATACATTAACACTAAAAAACAAAAAAGAAGAATATCCCAACAGGTGGAAGATTAGTTAGACTGTAGGGATTATATGCAAAAAGAAAAAAAAAACATAGGATGACCTGAGTCACACCACACCACCACTCAATCAGCACACAAGAATACAGGCCAGTGTAACCACAATCAGTAGTGGTACACGCACCCATACAGAACTGCTCATACTGCTGCTGCTGTCTGCATCACCCTTTACATTTGGCACTATGGTGTTATTGCTGATTCCAGGGATAGGAGGAATTGTATTGGTGGTGGTGGTAGTTGAAGTTGACTCCTCATTACTGGTGATATTGAGGGTAACAGAGGTCGTGTTCGCTGTGGTGTTCCCTTCTGCTGATGCAACCACAGTAGCGACACCATTTGTTGATTCATTCTCTGCCGTTGTCACATTATCAGTGGTACTGTTGGGTTCTGTGCTCGTGTTATTTAATGTGTTTGAATCACCAGTAGATAGACCAGATTGAGTTATTTCACTAGGTGATGCATCTGTAGTAGGATGTGGTTTTGAGTCAGCAGTAACATGGGNTCACGGAATTAACTGATGGGATGCTGCCGTCTCTATTTGTGGGTTCACGGGAGACCTGATGTACAGCGTTCTCATTCTTTCTTCGATCTGAAGCCATCTGGTGTTCTTCTAACATTTCTTTCTTTTCTTCTCTCAAAACGCCAGAGCATAATTTAGAGTCCTGTTGCGCGAGTTCACTGCAGCTACCACACTTGTAAGATCCATTAGTAAGAAGAATAGGAACCGAAGGGGGAAAACAAACAACGAGCTGATTACCAGTAGCTATAACAGGTTTCGTTTGATCAGCAAATACCAACCCACAAGCACAACAGAGTGCAAGAGTTAGTAAATAGAGCAGGTAAGACCTCACCATTACAGCCTTTGTCATTGTTGTTTACTTCAATAGACTAATACAAGGAAAAAGAAATAAAGGAACCAATTGAGACAAACATACAGCAATATAACAAATACTCACAGTGGAAAAGAGAGAGAATAGCAACTCCACAGTAAAGCAAGAAAAAGGAATATTCCGCTTGTATGATAATAATATGTACCCCTTAATGGAAAAATAAAACACCCAACACATTACCCAAATGAGAGAGAGAGCCAAACACACAAACACACACAATACTCCATGGCTGTAGTTTATGTAATAAATTACTACACACACAAATCTGTATGTACTAGCAAGGGATGTATACCGTCAGTGAGCAGAACAGCCCAGTGTTCTACACACAACGGAAAAAGCAAGTAATGGAATTATTAGAAAAAGAACACACACACACACAAAAGTAAAAAAAAAAGATATTCGAATTAAAAGAGAAAGCTGTTAAACAGATTATTAGTTCATTTACCCATTGGGAATATACGCAATTATGACTATGTTAGTATTACCATTATTATTATTTGTCCTCAGATGAGTCCCACCATTCAGTAGAGGGTAGCGGAGAACAACACAACCACAATCAGCAGCGGTGCTGCAGTGCGCATCCACACAGGACTGACACTGCTGTCAGCATTGGCATTCTTCTTTACAGTGGAAGCAATAGTGTTGATCTCTACGTTGGGTGAAGGAGATGGAGTGGTGTTTGGTGTTTCTGTCGTGGTGTTCTCGGAGCTCGGCGGAGTAGTAGTGGAATTGGTTTCTTCTGAGCCTGACACAGCAGTCGTACTGGCAGGAGATGGTTGCTTGTTAGTGGTAGAGTCGCTGGGGACACTCTGATTCCCTGTGTTATTCGGTGATCCTTTGTTTTCCTCTGGTGTTATTTCTTCAATTCTCTTCTTTGCAGTATTAATTGCAGTAGTGAGGTTCCCTAAGGCCTCATTTAAAAGGTTAGCAGCTGTCTCCGCAGGCTTCACTGCAGCTTCAGCTTTTCGTGCCGCCGTCTGTGCATCCTCTTCGGCATGGATGCCGTCGAACGCGTATATATCCAGACTCACGTTATCCGTATAATTGAATGACGCCTCTACCGTTTTGTGAATAGTGTTCAATGCTTGTAGTTTCTCCTCTTTTTTTTCCTCTATTTCTTTTGCTTCTGACGTCAAATTATTGTACAAGTACATAAAATCAATTAATAGCTGCCGAGCAGCTATTCCGTA